CTGTCCCGCTGTCCGTGTCCTCCGCGGCTTTGCTCCGTGTCTCCCTGGTCTGCTGGGGGAGGGGTTACCACCCCAGCAGACCAGGGAGACGCGGAGCAGCTTTTCTCACCCCGGAGGACGCGTGCAGCAGGACCGCAGCGCATCTGGGCATCCCGCCGCTCCCGTCCTCTGGGGCGAGAAAAGCCCCGTTCGTCACTGCGGATCCGACATAAGTCGGATCCACGTAACTCGGGGACTGCCTGTAGTTGGAATTATGTTTTCCAATATGTGATACTTTGTATTTATCAGCCTTAAAATTCATCTTCCAATTTGTTGTCCAGCCATTAGTTATGAAAGATCCTTTTGAAAGCTCTTCACAGTCTGATTTGGATTTAACAATCTTGAGCAGTTTAGCATTATCTGCAAATTTTGCCATCTCACTGTTTATCCCAATCTCCAGATCATTTATGAATATGTTGAACAGGATCAGTCCCAGTACATACCTCTGCGGAAATCACTAATTACCTTTCTCCATTCTGAAAATTGACCATTTATTCCTACTCTTTGTTTTCTGCCTTTTAACAAGTTATAGTTCATGATAGGACCTTTTCTCTTATCCCATGACCGCTCACTTTGCTTAAGAGCCTTTAGAGAGGATTCTGGCCTGGGAGAGGTATGTAGGAGCAGGTGCACGATCTGGGATGGAGTTGTAATGGGGAGGGGAGAGAAAGTGCAGAAAGTTTGGGTGGTGACCTGGGACAGGAGACTGGGACTGGAGTGCAGGGTCCAGGAGGAGGTATGGGTGCAGGAGAGGATTCTGAGAGGGAGAGTTATAGGAGAGGGTACAGGACCTGGGATAGAGTTGGAGTGCAAAATGGGGTGAGCGTCAGAGGTCTGGAGGCTCTGACCTAGAGGCACTTACCTGAGCAACTTCCAGAGAGCAGCACTGTCTGGTAAGCTTCCCTGCCTGCCAACAGTCTCAAATCATTCAAAGCAGCTGGCTGTTCCACATGGAGAATGGGGGAAACCATGGCATGCTGGCCCCACCCCCAGCAAAATCTCTTCACTCCTATTGGCTGGGGGAGGGGCCCAGGGGGATGCCTCTAACAAAATCTTTCAATTCCCATTGGCTGGTTTCTGGCCAATAAGAGCTGAGATTTTTTGCTGGGGCAGTGTGTGAAGCCTCTAACCTTATCCCGCAATGCAGAGAGCCAAATGGAGTAGCCAGCCGCTTTGAGCAGGACTGCTCCATTCTGCAGGGGCAGGCTGAATTAAAAGGCCTGACAAGCTGGATTCGGCCCAGGCTATTTCTTGCCACCTCTGATTTAGTTTTTCTGGAATGACCTTATAGTCATTGAGTGTTCCTTTAGCCTCTTGATTGTCCAGTGACCCTACTGGTTGTTTAGCAGGCTTCCTTCTTTTGATGTAATAAAAAATGCTATTACTTTTTAAATTTTTGACTAGCTGTTCTTCAAATTCCTTTTTGGCCTTCCTAATTATATTTTTACACTTCATTTAATAGAGTTTATGCTCTTTTCTATTTTTGTCACTATTCATATCGCATTTCAAGAAAGATGTGGAAAAATTGGAGAGGGTCCAGAGAAGAGCAACGAGAATGATTAAAGGTCTAGAGAACATGACCTATGAGGGAAGGCTGAAGGAATTGGGTTTGTTTAGTTTAGAAAAGAGAAGATTGAGGGGGGACATGATAGCAGTTTTCAGGTATCTGAAAGGGTGTCATAAGGAGGAGGGAGAAAACTTGTTCATCTTGGCCTCTGAGGATAGAACAAGAAGCAATGGGCTTAAACTGCAGCAAGGGAGGTTTAGGTTGGACATTAGGAAAAAGTTCCTAACTGTCAGGGTGGTTAAACACTGGGATAAATTGCCCAGGGAGGTTGTGGAATCCCCGTCTCTGGAGATATTTAAGAATAGGTTAGATAAATGTCTATCAGAAATGGTCTAGACAGTATTTGGTCCTGCCATGAGGGCAGGGGACTGGACTTGATGGCCTCTCGAGGTCCCTTCCAGTCCTAGTATTCTATGATTCTATTATTTAACTTCCATTTTTTAAACAATGCCTTTTTCTCTCTCACTGCTCCTTTTACTTGGTTGTTTAGCCACAGCGGCACTTAAGTTCTCTTAACTGCGTCTTTTAAATTTGGGGTATACATTTAAGTTTAGCCTGATCATGGTGTTTTTGAAAAGTCTACATGCAGTTAAATTTAATTATATTATGGTCACTATTTTCAAGTGGTCCAGCTATAGTCATCTCTTGGACCAGATCCTGTGCTCCACTTAGGACTAATTCAAGAATTTCCTCTTCTCTTGCGGGTTCCAGAACCAGCTGCTCTAAGAAGTAGTCATTGAAGGTAAAAGCCGGAAAAGAGCGTCTACACTGGCCCCGATCCTCCGGAAAAAGCGCCCTTTTCCGGAGGCTCTTCAAAGTAGGAATAAGAGCCTCCGGAAAAGGGCGCTGTTTCCGGAGGATCGGGGCCCAGTGTAGACGCTCTTTTCCAGCTTTTTTAAAAGCCGGAAAAAAGCGGCGGACATTTTTATTTAAATGCCGCGGGGGATATTTAAATCCCCTGCGGATTTCCCTACGACGACTCATGAAATTTACATGCCCCTTCCGGAAAAGAGGCCAGTGTAGACGTAGCCTTACTGTGTTTTTTTAATTTGGGTGCAAACATTTAAGTTGAATTATGATGTCTTTGAAAAGTTTCCAGGGTGATAACGTTAAAATCTTTTATTGGACCAACTTCGCTCATCTGAAGAAGTGGGCTATGCCCATGAAAGCTCATGATACCATTTTCATGTTTTGTTAGTCTATAAAGTGCTACCAGACCATTTGATGTTTTTTAAGTTTATGTTAGTGAGTGAGACAAGTTTTCAAGCTTACACGGCTGTTCTTCATATACTCTGAAGAACTAGGGCCCAGCTTTCAAGAAAATGCTGCTTCCAGGGTTTGTACCAATAACCTAAAATTGTACCCGTCCTGTAGAATGTAGCCTTCTTGTAAGAGTTACTGAGAGTGAACCAAGTATCAGTCCCCAAAAACCTTCAGCTATGAAGACCAGAACTGTCCCAACAGTGGTAGAGCAGGGGATATGAGGTATCTTCAGAATCCATGGACACCAGTGATGTCAACAGAGAACATACTCCAGTTTGAACTCTGGGGGTGCGTCTAGACTGGCAAGATTTTGCTTTTGCGCAAAAACTTGACAGCTGTCTACACTGGCCGCTTGAATTTGTGCAAGAGCACTGACATTCTAATGTAAGAATTCATTGCTTCTTGCGCAAATACTTTGACACTCCTGCTCACGAATAAGCCCTCTTGCACAAGAATACTTGCGCAAGAGGGCCAGTGTAGACAGGCACCTTAATTTTTTGTGCAAGAAAGCCCGATGGCTAAAATGGCCATCGGAGCTTTCTTGCGCAAAAGCGTGTTTATACTGGGCACAGATGTTTTTGCGCAAAAGCATCTGTGCCAATCTAGACGCTCTTTTGAGGAAATACTTTTAATGGAAAAACTTTTCCATTAAAAGTATTTCCGCAAAATCATGCCAGTCTAGATGCAGCCTGGGTGTTTTTTATTTCTGGGCCAGCGGCATACTCTGGTGCCAGACATTCTTCCTATTGTTTAGATCTTTGGAGCAGGGAGATAGAATTTCTTCTAACATTACTAAAAATAATTCAGTTTTTTCCCTCTCTCCTTTGTAGAAGCTAGGGCCCAATACCCTTAATCTTCTGCAGTGAGGTTCCCACCATAGGCATTAACTCTGTGGGTGCTCTGGAGCTCAAGCACTCACCAAAAAATAGGAGGTGCTTGTTACACCTTGGTTCGGTGATGTGGTGGAAGCCTCAAGGGTTAAAGCCGATTACCCAGAGAAAACTACTGGATGATAGTGTAAAACAAATGATCTTTATTAAGTGGAATGATTCTTTTATCAAAACCAACAATTAGAAAATGGTCTTTTTAACTAACAATTGCCCACTGCTTTTACAGGGTAGAAAACTTGAACACAACTCTACCTAACTGATTACAATTCCTAGATTACAATTTACTTATATTAAATCACTATTCCTAATTCGCTTAACACAGCGCAGCATACAAACGAAAAATACAAAAAACAAAGCTAAAATAATAACAATAAAAAAGGCCACTTACAGCTAATCCTTCCAATGTTACTTTAGGACAGCTGGCAGAGTTAGTCATTGATTTTTGCTGTTACAGGTTAACAACTCCTGGGTTTTTCTTCTAACACTTGTACCTAGACTAAAACATAACACTATCACACAGCACAAAATTACACTATCTATACAATGCAACTTGCTTATACCTTACAAGATTACAAGATATGATTAATACAACTTAAGTACTGACTAAGCTAACAATTGATAGATTTAAGTAATACTTACAAATTCAGCAATAACAACACGAAGACACACAAAAACTTGGAGCATGCTCAGGACTAGCGCACCCCTAGCTTTGACTTGAAGGGTGGGGAAGGCAGCCTCAGGGTGATCAATCCTTCAGCCAGACAAAAAAAGACACATGCCCTCAACACTCAGACCCTCATTGAACAAAGGGGTCGAGGATCTTTTATAACATAACCTGATATCCGATACCTTATTAGGGTCAGTTCCCTGGCCGGGCCTGATAGGCTGGTAATGAGGTAACGTGAAATACTGCCCTATAGGATTTTTCATGATGCCTGCCTGATGGCCCCGTGGACAATGCTGGGCATGGTCAGTGTGCATGGCAGTCGCGTCTTATCTCCCTATGCCTACCTCCCTGCCTTCAAGGGCTGGTCAAGAGAGTTTTATTTATCTCTTGCAGCTGTGTTCTATTTTTTCATGCTCACCTCCCTGTTCTATGATGCCTACAAGGCCAAATCCCGTTTTACAGAAAGCTGCATTGTGCTTCCCATGCTTCTCTGAGTATCTCACAGTCTGGGTTTTCTGTGAGGGGCCTTGTGTGGCAGGATGGGCTATACACGAAGGCCATGGACAGAAAAAGCCTGCTTTACAACAGTGCTCAGCACCTTCTGGGACATATTAATGTTTGGTGGGCTCAGGCTCCCAGGCTATCGCTCTGCCCCAAGATACCACCTGGTCTTTTCCCCTTCTCTCTTCCACTGTTCTGCCACCCTTGCCCTCTTCCCTCTGAGGCTTTGCCTGCCAATCACTGGGGAAGGGGATTGGAAAAAGAGCACCTAGAGGCAAAAACAAAAGTCAGCACCTGTGTTTCCCAGCCCCTTTATTTAAAAAAAGTTGAGTATTTTTCTAATCTGTCAAATAACAATTTATGTTACTGTATATCACAGAGGGATAACTGGGTTAGTCTGGAACTTAAAAAAATTAGTAGTCCTGTAACACCTTTGAGACAACATATATGTGGATCATGAGCTTTTGTGGGCACAACCAACTTCAGATGAGTGGAGCAAAAAGGAGTGGAAAGCTCATGATTATATATATATTGTTTGTTTCTAAGGTGCTACAGGACTACTCTTTTATTAAATGTTAATATAGATGTTTGATCTGAGTTGGTCAATAGAAGTGCTTTCCCTCCCATTTCCAATTTTTCTAATGGAGTGATGTGGCTCTTGTTGTCAATAAGCCCTATCAGAAAGGCAACAGACCCAACCAAGGTTATGGAAAACGTTAACGACAAAGGAAATTAAACCGTTTTCATGCAACCTGCAATTTTTCTTGGGCTCCTCTTTGCCCATCAGCTCTTCGTGCGGTAGAACGAGTAGGACGCAGGGAGAAGAAGAAGAAACAATGCTCTGCTAAGCCTGTAACAGGCTAGTAAACGTGACCCCCAAACTAAACGGTCTCTTCCCAGCCTGCCCACCTTCCTCCCCCCTTCTCCATATGGTTCCGCCGCCACGGCAGCGGCTGCAGTGCGTGTGGATTTAACTTTCCAAGCCAGGCTCAAGGGCTTTCCAACGCCTTATCTCCGCCTCACACCCCTTTCCCCGGCGCACACCCGCTCACCATATGCTCTCGGGAGAGGGGCGGGGAGAGGACAGCGGCTGGAGCAGCTGATCCCTGCCAGCCAAAGCCCAAGCGGCCTCCGGGGCTGGGCTGCTCCACGGGAGGGAGCCGGGCAGCCTAGCTTGCTGGGGCCTCTCCCCTGGCCTTTCCAACGCCTTATCTCCGCCTCACACCCCTTTCCCCGGCGCACACCCGCTCACCATATGCTCTCGGGAGAGGGGCGGGGAGAGGACAGCGGCTGGAGCAGCTGATCCCTGCCAGCCAAAGCCCAAGCGGCCTCCGGGGCTGGGCTGCTCCACGGGAGGGAGCCGGGCAGCCTAGCTTGCTGGGGCCTCTCCCCTGGCCTCCATGGGGGGGCTGGGAAGGCGGGGCTGGTGCGGG